GAATGTGAAAGAACCTTGGGTGTGGCCCTTTATAGAGAGATACTCACACTGCTTAAGGCAGCTAGAGCTGACACAAATGACATAAATAATGAAAGTTGTAACAGATTAAATTATCAATATGTATTCAGTACATAAAGCCATGAACAATAAGTGAGAGGTAGAAGAGAACTGTTGAAGGAAACTTTGCAGATTGGGTCAATAAATGAACCGGTTTGATGAGTAATAATAACAATGTAATGGGAAGACAAACACCTCTCTTTGGAAAAAAGCACTACCTGGAAACCACTCCCACTTGGTATATTGTTAGTCTCATGCTCGATATTCAGAGGCAGTGAGAGGTGACATGGCGCTGCAAGGAGAGCTCTGTCGGGACAAACTGTGCTGTTTTATCTGCAAGGATCTGATTAAGAATCCAGTGACTATTCCCTGTGGACACAGCTACTGTTTGAGCTGTATTTGTAGACGTTGGGATGGAGAGAAGCAGAAGAAAATACACAGCTGTCCTCAGTGCAGCCAGACCTTTGAACAGAGGTATGTCCTGATGAAAAACACCATGTTGGCAGAGTTAGTGGAGGAAGGGAAGAATAAGAAAAACACAGTGGGACTGAAGAAGAAGAAGAAGAAGAAGAAAAAGAAAGAACCCCAAGCTGGTCCATCTGATCCCTGTGATGCTGGACCTGGAAATGTGGGATGTGACATCTGCAGTCCTACAGGGAGAAAGAGGAAAGCTCTGAAGTCCTGTCTGCAGTGTCGGGTCTCTTACTGTGAGCAGCACCTCAAGCCTCACTATGAAGTTCCATTCAAGAAACACAAGCTAATTGAAGCTTCAAAGCTTCAGGAGAACATCTGCTCTCAACATGATAAGGTAATGGAAATCTTCTGCCGCACCGATCAGAAGTGTATCTGCATTCTCTGCTCCATGGATGAACATAAAGGCCACGACACAGTTTCAGCTGCAGCAGAAATGGCCGAGAAGAAGAAAGAGCTCGGGGTGAGTCGGCAAAATATACAGCCGAGAATCCAGAACAAAGAGAAAGTTGTGAAGCTGCTTCAGCAGGAGGTGGAGGCCATCAATCTCTCTGCTGTTAAAGCAGTCAGGGAAAGCGAGTCCACATGTACTGAATTATTCAATCTCATTGAGAAAAGAAGCTCTGATGTGAAGCAGAAGATTATATCCCAGCAGGAATATGAAGTGAGTCGGGTCAAACGGTTTCAGGAGATGCTGCAGAAGGACATCAGTGATCTGAGGAGGAAAGACACTGAGCTGGAGAAACTCTCACAAACAGATGATCAGATCAAGTTTCTACAGGCCTACCGCTCACTGTCAAATCTCAGGGACGCTAAGAAACCATTCAGAGTCAACAAGGGTCCTGTACGATACTTTGAGGATGTGACAGCAGCTGTGTCAGAGGCCAGAGGTAAAGTACTGGAGAGCTTTGATAAGGAATGGATGAAGATCTCAGAGACAGTGACTGAAGTGGATGTTAAATTGTTGCCAGACCCCCAGACCAAAGCTGAGCTTTCACAATATACAGGCCCCAACAGTCTTCTCAAATTGGATCCAAACACAGCGAGTATGCAGATACAATTATCTGAAGATAACAGGAAGGCAACATTAGTGAGAGAGCCACAGTCATATGATCCACACGTAGACAGATTCATGGCTAGGTCTCAGGTTCTGTGTGGAAAAGGTCTGACTAATCTTTGTTACTGGGAAGTGGAGTGGAGTGGTTTAGGTGGTTCAGTAGCAGTCGCATACAGAGATGTTCCCAGAACAGGACAGGAAAGTGCATTCGGGGACAATGACAAGTCTTGGGCACTAGAGTTTAGTAAAACGATTTGTAACTTCAAACACAACGGTGAAAAAAAGGCCATTTCTGTTCCTCAATCCTCAAGGATTGGTGTTTTCTTGGATCAAAAGGCAGGTGTTCTCTCCTTCCACAGCGTCTCTGAAACCATCACCCTCCTCCACAGAGTGCAGACCACATTCACTCAGCCGCTCTTTGCTGGACTCGGTGTTTATTATTATGGATCTACTGCTACATTTCGTGACACCAAGGTGGAACAACTGTCAAGTGAGGTCAGTGAAAACTAAATGGACATTATTTTGTGAGATCTGCAGCTGAGATGTGTGATCTCACATAGAGTTGTTCATATCATTGTGTCTCCCAGAAAACAATGAGCAGAATATCTTTTGTAACCTTTTGTTAGATTCTTTTTTGTGTGCCTTTTTTTCAATATTTATTTTGGGTAGGGACATAGGGGCTCAGATAAATAAAACATATATACAGTCTTTAACATATGCAATTTTAAGTAGTGCCTGTTTGTCACGTGAGGGACAACCTCTGACATACAGTATCTTGTTTATTCTATATTGAGATATTATTGTATCTTCTCATCATTAATTAGAACATTGACTTGATTGTGTTTTGAAATGTAGAAATGTAATGTAAAAGGGAAGATTGAACATGAACTTTAAAACTAGATTTGCTGATTAGATTCTGTCGATAACTGTTAATGAGTCAATTGTTTTTTAAAGAATGAATAAAGTTTTTTCTGATTTATTTGATGTCTTTGTTTCTTTCTTCTTAATAGTCATCCAAAAATGTTAAATGTCGGCCCACGGCATGAGTTAAATAAAGATGACATTTATACAGAGATGGCAAAAGATGATACACGGATCGTGTTAAAATCAATAGGCATGACTCCAAATAATAATGATCACGACAACCAACAGTGGATTAAAGTTTAAAACTAAAGTAACCAGCCTGTTTTGAAAATAAAAGAAGTAGAAAGTACAGGTATTTGTGTTAAAAATGTAAGAAGTAAAAAGTCGTCAGAAAAATAAGTAGTGGAGTAAAGTACTGATACCAGAAAAATGTACTTAAAGGTAGGGTAGAATGGAGAAACCAGGGTTGCGTTCGAATACTCCAAAAAAACAGCTCCTAAGTTCTAACCCTATCGTCTATTCCTTGACCTCGGAGTGAAACGTCATGGGGTTAAGGGATAGTGGATAGGAGAATTCAAAAGGATTTAGGAGAAGAGACTGCGGCACTTTAGAGAATCCGACTGCACTTTCACTATCCGACGTGTTTATGATGCGCCAGCAGAGGTCATAAATGTGCGCCTGCTGCTGTGGGGAAACTATGGAAACTACAGTTTTCTATCCAGCGGACTACAACATGGATGTTTAATAAGAACGAGGGACTACTGTAAACTCATCTAGAGACTCTGCACCGTGCTCTGATGCTGTTGTTTTATGCTTTATGAACGGGGACAACAGAGAAACATATTCTTCATGACCAAAGTTGGAATTGAAATAAAAAAGGAAAGTGAAACTTATGCTCGTCACCCTCTCCCTCCGGTCCACATTAATACAAATGATCCCAATACATATGATTGTATGAAAAGATCTTAAAATCAATACAAATGTATTTATTATAAACGTTAGCCCTTAACATCTATCACTGTGTATATCACCATTCAAACATCTTTTAAAAGTTGAACAAACCCCACACAGCTCAGTAAAGACTGTGAAATGTTGACTTTATTTGATCATTTCAGTAAAAACTAACGTTCATATTTCTCTTTTTGATTATAATACTGATGAACGTTCAAAACAAAGCACTTTGGCAACTTACCACATACGTTTTAAAATGCTTAATAAGCACCGTAACTTTCATGATATCATTTCTCGTTCATAATCGGTTGTTTCCGTGAACGGCCGACTGTTGTGTGACGGCAAATGCTGCGGCCGCAAGGCATTGTGGGGCAGCATTTTCTCCTCTCCTTTCGGTTAGGGAGGTCCAGTGGTTCCTAGGCTAAAGGAGGTTATAAAGGAAGTTTGAAACCTCCTTTCCTTTTAATTTAGAGAATTCGAACGGCACTTATCATGGCTGCCACTGAGGGACTTCCGGGTCATTTCACTCCGTTAGGAAGGTTCCTAAGCTAAATGGACTATTCGAATGCAACCCGGCTCGAGATCGCTAGAATTTGAAAATACACAACCGGAGAAAATCAGCCTCTTCCTTACAGAGCCCCTCCTCCAACACACACGAACGCGCACATGACCAATGAGGGCACGAGATACGTTTGTGCACGAGATGGAAGGCTGACAGGCAGGTAGGCCATCCAGTTATTTTAGCCGGGCCGGCTCAGATGATTGGTTGTGCTTTTTACAGTACTACGGCTTCCACAGATGACATTTTTTTATGTATTTATTGTCAAAGCATTTAATATATTCATTGCTATCGGGATGTTAAGAGCATTCCATGGAATATAACAAAAAGTGTTTCTGAGGTAAATTACCTACCCCACCTTCAAGTACAGTTACGAAGTATTTGTACTCCACTACTTTCCACCTCTGCATTTAAAACAAATATAGACCTGTTTGAGTATCAAAAACTGGCACTACAAGAACACTAAAGGTCAATAAGAAAGAACAAGACAAAAAACTCAGATGCGAAAATAAAGAAATTAGTTAAATCAGCAGACACCACCTGTCCCCAAGCGAAAAGTAAGCCAATGGGGACATCTGGTGGTACACACACACACACCCACACACACCACACACACACACACACTAAACTGGGGAGGAAATGGATGCGGCAACACCACACATATGTTCATATGGCAATTATACGGTTTTGTTTTTAATCCAAACTAATAACACGGGATGATAAATAAGGTAATGCCTAGATTCCCCTTTGCGAGAAAAAGGCAGCTGCTGATCAGTTTTGGACAAAATAAGCAACTTGAGGATGAAATGAAAACTGAAAACTGAAAAGGCCCTATTTTTTGCCCTTTCTTGTAGTGTGGTGTGCAAAGGCTCAAATCCCTGTGTTCCCTCCAGAAGGAGTTTCTCTCCCACACACACTAATGAGTAAATTAGTCTTCTACATTGTTGTGTGCTGATTTAGGAGAGCACACATTTAGTGTGACCAGCAGCTAGAAATTAATCATTGATATAAAAGTATGATAAAAAGAATATCACCACAACATTTCATAACTAAACGAAAGTGACAGTGAAGTCTCTGTCTTTTTATTTACATTTCACAGATGCAGAGAAACACACCATGATATTCACACCTGTATGATGCTCCTTCAAAAACATCTGGAGAAGACAGGAGAGGGAACAAAGCAAACGGGGTAAACAAAATGTCATCCGAAGCATTACAGATGCTTCCGTTTATGTTTAACAGCAACCGCTAACATCCTCTTCACCCAATAACCCCCATTCACAGCATACAGTATGTACAGCTACTGTCATTAGTCCAAAGGCACATTCTCTGTCACTCCTCCAACAAAGGGAGGCGTGTTTTTACCAGTTTACCATCAATTATTTTATATTTCACATCAGATTTTGCTTCAGTTGTCCATTAGTGTCATGGTGGGTAAGGGTATCTTTCCATCACATTGTCATCATTCCAACCTAATGAAAATATCTTGCTTTTGGCAGGATTAAAAAAGTTTTAGAGATACCAAATCCACCTAACTAAGGAATATAAGATATTTTCTTAACAAAACTACGCCTCCGAGGAAACGGAACCCCTAAAATGCTCTGATTCCCGCTTCTCAAATGTGACGATTCAAAGCTTTTCCTTTTTATATCATTGTTAATCTTAAAACTTATGGTCAGACTTAAGACATTCTCTCGGAGGTTGTGATGGACATTTTGTCATCCTTCTCTGATATATTATAGGCCAAATCCCAGTTTACACATTACTGAAAGTACAAGTTAGACCAGCTCTAGTCTCAATATAACACAGTCTGATCATACTTTTGGCATTAGACCGTTTTCTTTATATTATGGACACTTCGGTTCATACTAATATTGAGGTTTGATACCAAGCCCTGCCTGGTACATGGTAAAGAAGCTAAAACCAGCCAAACAGAAGGTCCGTTTCCCCTGTCCAACAACAGCAGGACAACAAGTGTCCCCCCATCCACCCTCCATGTCCCCCCGGCTCAGGGAGCAGCCAGCTCCCGCAGCAGCCTCTCCTTCTCCAGCTGCAGCTCCACGATGCTCTGCTTGTTCTGCTCCAGCCGGTCCTCCAGCCACTGCAGCAGCGGGCCGCTCACCGCAGACATCTGGCTGCACAGGTTCTTGGTGAACACCGAGCCGTTGTGGATCTTGGTGACGGGGTCCAGGTGCGCCAGGCTGTGGATCTTGCGGTAGGTGTCCTGCTCCTCCTGGCACAGGATCTTCGGCAGCTCCACGGCGGACTCCAGGCACACCTTCCCGATGGCTTCACGGGGCACCACGTGGATGGGGATCTCCACCCGCTCGTACTCGGAGCCCTTCTGCACGGACTGGAAGCAGGTGTAGAGCACGCGCCCCGTCTTGGTGTTCTTGTCCTCTATGAAGCAGGAGAAGATGAGGCCCACGAAGCACTGGTCCAGCATCTGGTACATGGCCTGCGTCCTGACATCGACGTGGGAGGGCCACACAGTGATGTGCGGGTGGGAGTGGTACCAGCCCACCACCCGCATCGGGCGGCCGGTCATGTCTGCCAGCCGCTCCGCCTCGGTGGAGGCCGCGGACAGCTGCTCCGGGGAGATCTCCACCCGGTCCTTCCTCTTGTCAGAGCGGCGGAGGATGATGACCGAGTGGATGTGGACGATCCTGGCGGGCTCAGCCTCTCCGATGCACAGCCCCATCACCTCCTCCTTCTCCGTGCTCAGCGCGTGGTTCATGCACACCAGGAAGGCGTCGGACTCCAGGTGAACCGCACTCACCGCCATGATGTCAAACTACTGAAGTGTACCGTCGTCCCGGACCAAAACATAAACAGCAGCGCTTCACTTCCGCGTTCTGAAGTGCCGCATAAAAACAGTCCGTGTTGGTGCAAGCGGATTTGATATAAGGTTCCGCTTATTTTCGAGTGACTTCTTCTTCTTTGGTTTTAACGGCTGGCAACCAGTGTTAAAGGTGCATTAACTGCCACCTACTGTATTGCAGTGTGGACCAGAATTATCTACCCCCCCCCCCCCCCCCCCCCAAAAAAAATCAGCTCGTCTTAAATAATATATTGGTCTCCCTGACCCAATGTCTAATATCTCTTTGAGAGTTGGGTGAACCAAGCCTTCTGATTTCTGTCTGTAGAGTTTCTCTTGTCTGTATTTGTCACAAAACCTTTACCGAAATAACGTGCATTCATATTAATTGTTTATTAATTTTACTTCACTTTACTTACTATTTACACCTCATCTTAAATATATTACTTCTCATTATCCGTATACATTTAGTACATTCAGTTAACCTGTCGGAAATAATTTCTAACCCACATTTATATACATTTTTTTATGTATTCTCCCCAGACCTTGGTTATATTTTAACTTTTATTATTTTCCCCTTTTATATTGTCATTTGAACTTGCGTGGTTTTTCTTTTATAACATAGGCCTATTTAGTGACATTATGTATGAGATTTATTTAGCTATCATTGCCAACGGATGCTTCACTGTAATTGTTGTGCATATTATAATAACGATTCGGAAATTTGAATCAAGAAAATATGTCAGAAAAAGATAAGTATAAATCCTGCATAAATACAGAAACATTTGCCAAAAGTACTCGTTAGGCCATATTATGATAATAATAAAAACTTGTATTTTCCTCTAAATTCAGTGAAATATAAATATGAAGTAATTAAAATGTAAGAAAGGTACACACACCTCAAAACTCTACTTTAATAAAACAAAACGTGTACATGATAACCAGGGAGCTGTTTGCTTTCAGTTGTCAATGTTTTTTTATGCTGTAACCCCTAGAGAACAATGTAGTCAATGAAACCAAAATGAAATTATAAAGTTTATTTGCAAAGTGCTTTTCATTATAGTTGTACAAAGCAATAATCATAAACCAGGTGTATATAAAAAACATAGTCACAAACATGTTACATCAATTAAAAGTGAAAGTGTAATTGTTAACATATATTAAAGTAAGGCTCTGCAATCACTGTGCTACTTTAAACAATTTATATAAAAAGTGCTGCAATAAGTGCAATTTGGTTTTGCTCTACTGTACCTTTCATGTAGATTTTGTACCTATGGCTAATTATATTATAATACAGGTCAAATCAATATGCAAAACCTGTTATCAAACCCCTTCTACTGTATCTACTCAAGCTTTGAAAACTCAGCAGATCCGTTACCAAAGAAGGCAAACACACCAAACCCAGGAAAGAGAGGCTCAGTGAATGTGGTGTGGACTCTGTGGAGGAGAGTCATGGTTTCAGCAACGCTGTAGAAGGACAGAACGCCTGCACTGTGATCCAGGTACACTCCTACTCTGGAGGACTGAGGACCTGAAATCACAATGTTAGTACCTTTATGTCTGAACCCATAACTGTTGTTAAAACACTCCAAAGCCCAAGACTTGTCATCATTTCCGAATCCACTTTCATATCCTGTTCTGCTGATGTCCTTGTACGTGACTGCTACCGACACCTCAAATCCGTTCCTCTCCACTTCCCAGTAATGACGTCCGCTCAGACTCTCTCTGCTCAAGACCTGAAACATGTCCGTAAATCTGTCCTGATGGCTTGGATATAACAGTTTTTCACTCACTACTGTTGCTTTTCTGTTGCCCTCAGATAACAACAGCCGTGCGTTTGCTGTGTTTGGATCCAGTGTGGTTTTCTGGGAATGTCGTAAGAACTCAGCTCTGGTCTTGGGCTCTTCCTGTTGGAGTAAAACATCCACTTCTTCAGGCTGTGAGATCTTAGTCCACGCATCAGCGAGAACGTCCTGTAGTTTATCTCTGACCTCCGACACAGCTCCGCTCACGTCTTCAAAGTACTGCATAGGGCGGGTATTGATGCTAGGTGAGTCTGTAGGATCACCAAGACATGACAGTGAGGGGTAATGGTGTAGAAACTGGCTGTGATCCCCTGTGTGTGAGAGCTTTTCCAACTCAGTGTCTTTCCTCCTCAGCTCATTGATCTCCTTTTTCAGCTTCTCCTGAATCTTCATAGCCTGACTCACTTGACTTTTCTGCCGGTGTTTGATCTTCTGCCTCACATCAGAGCTGCTACTCTTGCTCAAACTGACCACCTGAGTGAAGATCTTCTCACTGTCAATCACTGCTTTATCAGCAGAGAGATTGATGGCCTCCACCTCCTTCTGAAGCAGCTTCACATCTTTCTCTTTGTTCTGGATTCTCTGCTGGATGTTTTGCCGACTCACCCCGAGCTCTTTCTGCTTCTCTGTCCTTTCTGTTGAGGCTAAGACGGTGTCATGGCCCTTATGTTCATCCATGGAGCAGAGAATGCAGATACACTGCTGATCTGTGCGGCAGAAGATCTTCTTCTCCTTACCATGACGAGTACATATGATCTCCTGAGGCTTTTTTGAGGGGTCGACCAGCTTGTGTTTTCCAAAGGCAGGGGATTCATAGTGAGGCTGGAGGTGCTGCTCACAGTAAGAGACCAGACACTGCATACAGGACTTCAGAGCTTTTTGTTTTCTCCCAGTGCAGAAATCACATCCCACATCTCCAGGTCCAGCATAGCAGTGATCAGCTGGAGACGCTTTGACGTCTGTCTTCTTATTCTTCACTTCCTCCACTAACTCTGCCAACACGGTGTTTTTCATCAGGACAGGCCTCGGTTCAAAGGTCTGTCTGCACTGAGGGCAGCTGTACACATTTTTCTGATTCTCTTCATCCCAGTGGCTGTTAATACAGTCCATACAGTAGCTGTGTCCACAGGGAATAGTCACCGGATCCTTCAGTAGATCCAAACAGATGGAACAGCAGAGCTTTTTACGATCCATGAGGTTTTGTTGCTGCGCCATTTCACCTCTCAGAGAATGTGAACTAGTTTCACTTTCTTATAAAAAGTGATCCAAACTAAAGCTCAGTTCCTTTTCCTCACTTCTGCTCGCTGATCTGCTGATCTTCACAACATGTGGGTTACAGTTATGTGTCACTGGCAGATCTGCAAAGGAGAAAGGGAGGAGAACAAATCTGGCCTGAATGGGACTGTCCTGTTGGACAACAGGAAGAGGAGGCGGGGCTTCTACTATCCCTTTCATTCCAGGGAGAGGAGTTGCTCCAGTGGAGCAGCAAGTCTGTTTAACATTAATCGATTAAGGGACGAAAACAGAGGTGAAGGATATTTCCAGATGCCTTACTTAAGTAAAAGTACTGATAGGAAAATACTCTCGCTCCTAATGAATAAAGTAAAAGTATGTAGGAGCTATTATCACTCATGGATTCATGTAAAAGCAGTTTTTTTTACTGTTGTAGTTGGTTATGGTGGAAATAATGATTAGTTTCATTATTACTTAATCTCCTGATTTTGTCCTTAATTAAATGATTGGTTGTTTGATTTGTGAAAAATAATCAAAACAGTGAGATATAAATGACAAGTTCTCATAGCACAAAGTGACACATATTCAATGCTTTCCATCGACCAGTACAAGGACACATTCCTCAATAGTTAAAAATACATCAAAATTAATTAAAAGAAAAAACAATATTCACGGCTTTAAAGATAGCTCCTTTAAATATGTTTGAATAAACAATTGTCAAAATAGCTGCCAATGTATTTTTAATCCAAGTACAGTTTCAGGTGAACTTTTATAATTCTAGTAATGTTTAAGAAAATGTCCTTTTATAAGTTCTTCATTTGTTTTCTATCCACTATTTTGTAAAATAACTGCTGACCTAAATAAATGAAGTGGAGTAAAAAGTACAATATGGAGTGGAAGTATCAAGTGGAATTAATACGCCACATTGATTTATAAAAGGTGTCTTCCATACAGCCTGTCAGCAAAAATACAAATGTTAGGGCTGTTTCCCTCAACTCCTTTCCCCTCAGTTTTAATAGCTTTCTTTGTCATGCCTGTGTTTCACCACCATGTGTCCCACTTGGCTTACAATTCATTAAGTTTCGTTTCCTCACGTTTGTTAGTTCATTGGCTTGTCTTTGCAGTTTCTGTTTCTGTCTTAAAAATAGACAATAGCCCAAGCTTTCAAAAGTTAAACACAATTTTAACCACATTTATCCAATAAACATTAAGACTACAAAACAAAAATAAACTTCATGATGAGTTCCAGTGATCAGGCGGTCATTTAAAGGTGGGGTAGGTAAGTTTGAGAAACCGGCTCGAGATACACTTTTTGTTATATTCCATGGAATGCTCTTAACATCCCGATAGCAATGAATATATTAAATGCTTTGACAACAAATCCATAAAAAAATGTCATCTGTGGAAGCCGTAGTACTGTAAAAAGCACAACCAATCATCTGAGCCGGCCCGGCTAAAATAACTGGATGGCCTACCTGCCTGCCAGCCTTCCATCTGTGCACAAACTTATCTCGTGCTCTCATTGGTCATGTGCGCGTTCGTGTGTGTTGGAGGAGGGGCTCTGTAAGGAAGTGGCAGATTTTTTCCGGTTGTGTATTTTCAAATTCTAGCTCACTCGAGCTGGTTTCTCCAAAATTACCTACCCCACCATTAAGGTAAATGTAACTGTTCATTAATAGTTGTTATTTCCATTTTTGACAAAGATCAACTTATTTTAAACAAAGATAACATTGACAGGCCCAGTCATGACTGTAAATTCAATATCTTAAAGGCTTCATTTTATTAATGAACATTGGATTAAAATATTAACATGCATATTTCTGTGTGTTTATTCACAGGGGAAGAAAAAGAGGGGGATCTTATCCTGAAATATCTTTATTCTTATAAACAAATAGCATAGGCTGCGAATAACTCATATATTTGCCTTAGATAATGCCCTGGTTCCCACCACAAAAAGGCAATGGGAATTTTACATTAGATACAATTCGTACTCCTTTCCACATTTCTGGTCTCAATCCTGCAGCACTCTATATGAAGACACAGTTGTACTTTGAACTAAATGCTTATTTTCTACAACTATTCAATATCCAAAGAAAAATGGTCCTGCAGGTTGGCCCACAAGTATCACTGTAGCATTCAATGGCCTCACAGAACTGTGCAGCGGTGGTAGTCCCAATTTGCTCCTTGTATTAACGGTCTGAATGTGGCTATCATTTTCAAAGAAACCGCACCACTACTGGTTCGAATACTGCAGCCACAATCCACCTTAAATCCACCACCTACTATGGCAGTTCTGAGGTACAGGAAGTTGATACTTATTATAAATCCGTTGTCATGTAGACGTATTTTAATGGATCGGTTCAAACCCAAAGGATATGTAGGATACAATTGAATAAGGCAGTTTTAGTAGAAGTAAAAATCAATGCCTTGGAAATACATCGTGGGGCAAAGTATGTTTTCCTTGATACAACTGTCTCTATGTTTCCTGAATAACGAGAATGGAGGACCACTCTCATGTCTCCATGGCAACAGTTTGCGGTGGTAAAACTTTGATCTTCAACGTGGCTTGACATCAGCACATGCATGATCAAATGTGGATTCACTCATGCATGCCTTAGCACAGCAACACACACACACACACACACACACACACACACACACACCACACACACACACACACACACACACACACACACACACACACACACACACACACACACACACACACACACACACACACACACTAAATGTCAACTAATTATCAGCATAGGCTTGCTAGTAAGATGTTGTATTCAGGAGTCGATAGAGCATTTCCTCATGCACATCACGTGTTTGCAGTCTTGGCATCCATTACGACAAAGATGCTGGCAGTAAGATTTGATCAGGAGATAAACAGGACACCACTAAGTATGGGTTGAAATAAAGAGGATTAGACCGTTCTTTTCAAATCCAAATATATAGTTTGATTATTTTTCTAAAAGGGCCCAGTGATTTCCTATAACAGCTGGGCACTGTAGTTTTTAGCAAATGTTCTCTAAACAGGACTTGAAAGTGTATTTGTTCGGAACTATTCTCACCTGTGGGTTATCACACATTTGGTCATGTAGTGAGTATTTGGAGGGAGAAAAACTCCCTCTGGAGGGATCTTTAGGATGTTACCCTTTGCAGACCATTTACATGCACAAAAACTGAAAAACACACTCCAGGAAAGTGAAAACCCCCAAAAGTACAATAGGGCCCCTTTAAATGTACCACATGGTATAAATGCTACATTTAGTGTATGCCAGTTTAAGTTATGTGGTATATAGTGATTCTGTTATTATGTATTTATTTAGATGTTGGTAGGCACTCCGTATTCCAGGTTCTCTGTAGTGTCGCTACCAATATTGCTCACAAAGTAAACAATCTTGGGTAAATAACGTTCCCCTTACATTGTTTTCTTGGACTGTACTGGACGCATCACCATATGCTTTCATTTTAGTTTAAGTTAATTACGCAAGTTTGTCTCTGTAAGGAAAATATGTGATCATTATTTCATGTAGTCATATACCATGGCTGGTTTGCTCATCAGTGTGCTTTACTAAATGTAAACCGTCAAAATGGGTCCAAAGTTATTTCCTGTTACAATGTTTGCAAGCAGTGTCAGGAAATGAAGCTGTTTCCTAGCAACCTATTATCAGTAAAGGGGTCTTTGCTGACCCAACTCTGGACTCATGCTGCACAAATAGGATTTTCTTTTAAAATTCTAATGTGGCCCGCGATGAAATTGAGTTTGACACCCCTGCATTAGAGTATTGAACCATATAATTTACAGACTTGGATTTATTGAGTTGTTGATGACCCAGTGTTTTGAGTGAGAAAAAGAAACAGAACAGCTTAAAATACATTTATGTCATATACTGCAAACACAGCAGCTTCACTGTGGAGTTTGAAAAAAGGAGCATCCTTTCATCTGAATTGATTAAAACAATGTCTTTCTTGTTGTTTCATTTCTCATATTTTCCTTCTTTTAAGTGAGTTAAAATACTAGTTCAAGTTGTCTGTGTTTCCACCTGTTGAGCGTTTAGGCCACAGTGAATGAGGAAGTAAAGTACAGGCGCTAGGACCTTGAGGGTTCACGTCTTTTCAGGTTACACACGATGCTGCCTTCACGTGCTGCAGGAATTGTCATTATTACATTTAGTGGTGGAGAAGTAATGCCTAAAATCGACTGATAAGGTTCTGCGGTTTATCTTAGAAACTATTTTAAATCAAATGTTCCACTTGTAGATGTATGAAGTCACAATTGTATTAGATGTATTAGATTGTGGTAAAGTAAAATTACAAATGTTAAACTAAGTTATGGTTAGCTAGCTTTCAACTTCTGGCGACTGCAATTGTGACACGAAAACATGAAAGTGGTTTTGAATAATATTAATATCTCAAGTTAATTATTAAGCTGTCGGAAAATTCAGCGATTTAACTAAACTGAAGCCTCAAATTACTTAAAATAATCAGAACATGGGATTGGGAACCATTTATTTAATTAATGGCACAAAGTTATGAGTTCTTTGTGGCCTTTATATATTTGTTTATCTCTCTATGCCCTCCATAAAAACCTGATCCACCATGATATAAATTCCCAACCAGTGAATTGCATGTAATGATTTAACCTTGTAAGGAAGAATTGTGCTTGTAAAATAAACTCAGGATTAAATTGTTAGTTAAAAAACAATACCTATAACAACAAAAAAGTCATCGGAACCATGTTACTTGTAGACTATTCTGCACTATTTAAATGATATTTTATTTATTTATTTTCATCATCATTCATAACTACAATATAGCTATGTACAAATGACAATAAAAGCCTTGCATCTTGAATGTTAGCACCTGTTTACTAACAGCTAATAAATCCGAGTTTCTTAGGTGTCCCTGAACGCGGCATGAGCGTCAAACCTCCACCCCTCGAGGAAGCCGAGCGACATCCATCAGACTCTGCTGCACTCTCGGAGGTACACACTTCTTCAGGCTGCACCCCACGAACACTCCGCCGGGCTGTCACACCGATTTCCGGGCACAATCTGGTGATCTCCCCGCTGATTCCCCTCTCCATCAGGACCGAGGGAGAGATGCGCCGTCTGGGAGGAGTAGGAGGAGAAGAACAGCAGCAGCAGCAACACACACCTGCGAGCAGGATCTGAGTTTCTGTAACATCAAAGAAAGGTAAGTGCAGAAAGAAATGTTACCTGGTCGTGCTTCAGGCTCGGGGTTTTGTCCCGTGTTTTGATGCAGATGCTTTTTGTTGATTTCCGCGTTACTTCCCAGCATCAGGGGAAGGCAGGCAGTATGAGTCATAGCACGGATCTGCTGAGGAGCAAAGTGTCTGCAGCCTCCAAAGCCTCATCTCTGATCAGTACATGCAAAGCGATGCACCTCTGTGTGCTGTTTAGGCAAATGACTGCTTACTGTGTGCATGTGTTTGTAGTGAGAGTGGGTGTTTGCAGACACGTGTGTGAATGGGATAGTTATTTCACATGGCTAGCAAGATTTTGTATACCAGAATGAAATTCACAAGTTTTTTTTTAGGAAACGTCTGATAAGTTTATACATTTAATTTTCTTTTAGGGCTGCAAATAATCTTTTTTTAGGTCGGTTAATCGTTATTTTCTCGATTAATCGATGAGTTGCTTGGTCTGTGTCAGAAAATGGTGACATGTTGTTTAGTGTTTATTTAAAGCTACAGAAAACATTAAGCAGGCATCACATTGTTTCTGACTTTGAACTTGTTTTTAAAAACATAACTTGATTCCTGATTGATTTAATAGTTGACAACTAATCAATGTAATCTCTTGCAGCTTCTTATTTGACCCCTTTAGGTGCAATGATGCTACAGCATACAATATCTAGAAAGTCTAGCTTTTTTGGACACCTCAAATGTTTGACCAAAAGTAAGCTCCTGAAAGAAATGGTTTTCCCAGTTTTGCTTGGAAGAACTTGACTGGACTGCACAGAACTCTGACATTCAACACCTTTGGGGTGATCTGAAGCATCACTTCCTTGCCAGAACTTTAAACAAACATCAGTTCTTGGACCTCTCTAATGCTCTTGTTGCTAAATGGGAGTGAATCCCTGCAGCCTGTATCCAACATGTTAGAAAGCCTGACTGAAAGCTCCCCTGACCCTATTGGCATGCACCTTGGAGACGGTCCCTAACTTTAATTTCTCCATTTCTCTCTTTTGTCAACATATAAGGCTTCAAAATCTGATCATAAACTAAAAACAAGACCTGTTGAACATCAGTTAACAGGGTTCTTACGGTCATTAAAAACCTGGAAAAGTCATGGAAATTCAAAATGCTAATTCCAGGCCCTGGAATAGTTATGGAAAACAATATTTTTCCCAAAGTTTTGTAAAAGTCATGGAAATGTAACTAAAGTTGCATAAAATATAATTTATATTTTATCTAATCGCCGAAATAGTAATACTATAATGATAATAAATACTGTATCGTCTAGTAATGAAACGTAAAATGGCATTTAACTGACGAGGTATTTTGCTGGTGAGAGATTTTAGTTGCTTTAGCGTGTAGAAGCTAGTAAGACTACTATTGGATTTGTTTTAGATAGGCACAACATGTTTCATATGCAGACCTTATTTTCCTGTTCCATGTTAAAATAAACCATTTTCAGTGATACCGCTGAGAAAGAGTAATGTTTTTGGTCATGGAAAATTAGGTAAAGGTCATGGAGAAGTCATTGAAAATCATTGGTGAAAATGTGTATGAACCCTGAGTTAAGCTTTGTCCTACACTGTAGATTAGAACACTGATAAATAGTTATTGAGTCGTGCTGAGTTGAACAACCTCAGTGTGAGTGTGGCCTACCGCTAAGCCCACTAGCAGTTTTCATATCTGACTTGTTTTACTTGTTTTCCCCCGGTAAGAGAGGTAAGAGACACTCATCTGAAGCTCCTCTGTGGCAGAAATGAGTCTCTCTCTTAGACTCACTGTATTTGTTGACTCATAAATCAGTTTGTAAACTAAGATGGAAGGAGCAGAGGTAATTAGTGGAAGCTGCCTTTTATTGGTTTGGTAATTCACTCCGATCCCTTGAGCTGCTGGCAGCTTTATTGTTGTATTACTTCTCTAACATCAATCCAAGTTGATTCCTCACTGATGGACCCATAATGGAAATTACAGATTACATTCTCGCTGTTATCTCCACCGTTGTTATACACTGACAGGCGCTGCTTTTAAACGTTGCATTTCATAAAAAGATGAATTAATTAATGGAGATAAATCCTGAGTGTTGTGGCTTTAGCAGATGAACACAAGTGTTTTAAAGTGTCATTACTCTCATGGATGGCAATATGGCCAAAAGATCAATCATATTTTCTAACAATTCAATAAATAAATATTCCACATGAAATCACCTCATGGTAAAACCTATTTTTGTATACTCACGTTTGAATTAAACACCAGAAAAAAAATACTCTATCTAGTATTTTCTTAAGAATTTTTGTGCAAAATGAAACATTTGATAAATGCAAATACATTTTGGCTTAACTTAAACTATGAATATGAAAAATACTAAAAGTAAACATTAAACAGCTTCATAAACAGTATATATTGTACGTTATATTGCATTGCAGCAATACCAAGTGGAATAACCTCATAAAAAAGTGCACAAGAAAGTAATTCGACAGAAAGAATATTTACCAACCATTTAACAATAATCAATTGATTGTTAAAGTAATCTTTATGCAAAAATATCCTAACATTTATTTTTTAAGCTGCTTTATATATGGAGATCTCCTGTTTTTCTCACATTTTTCACAACATTTAAGTGAATATCTGACAAAACAACACTTTTAAAGACATAACCTTGGACTGCGAGAAACTGCAATGGACATTTTTCACTATTTCCTGACACAACAGTTGTTTTTATTCAGCTGCAGCTGTAGGATCAGCTATGTGTGCGAATGACTCTTTGTCACAGTTTGCATACGTCTGTGTAGCAGTTTCACTAAAGACTTGTTTTTTCTCCTTGGACCGTTTCTCTGTTATAGTTTTTAGTAAACTGTCACACAGACGTTTTGCACACGGCATTGTTGAAGAACACCCACTGCCCGCAGCAGCTGATGCGGAGGGGAGCCTCCAGGCAGACTCTGCAGGGAGACACTCTGGGGGAGGACGCTTGCCATCATCATTTATTGAAACTACTGCCTGCCGCTTAAATTGTGACGCAGCAGCTCACACCTCAGAATAAACAAAATCCTGTGTGAAAAACCAGGTTACTGTTGGGTTTTCTACGATCTGAGTTTAGGATGAAAAGAGTCCATGAAGCTTATTTACAAGTTAACAGCGTTTAATAAAACAATGATACAATGAATTTGCAAATGGTTAGCCCGGCCGAGCTTGCTCTCTCCAGTCGCAGGGGATGAGAAAGAGACCGGCTTCCTGTTTGTGTCACATATTTATCATCTGTAGTCTTCTCCCATTGGCTTAGCGTTGACGGGGGCGGGTCTAAGGCACGTCCTGTCGTTTTCTGATGTTAGTTTTACAATCTTCTAATATCTGTTGGTCATTTAAACATTCCCTAATAATAGTATTGCAGCGTCTATAAGTGAGAGTTGAAGACAGTGTGTTTAGTGTGCAACACCACGTGTCATTCTCCTTATATTCACGTACACAAAATAATATTAGCTACATGCTAATGCTACAAACACCGTCTGCCAGACAGGAAGTCGAGTGTGTCGACAATGTCGTGAACATCCGGTTACAGAATAAAACAGTGTTATTAATTTAAAGTTTACGGCACATAATGATTTTATTCCTTACGTTCCATACAGACACCACACCTGAGATCTGGCTGACCATTATGAGCGCATGTGTGTTCTTAACTCCAGTTAATTGTGAGATTATAATTAAAGTCATTGACGTCCTTCAGGTTGGGATCAATCCAGGCTTTTTTTTTTTTTAAATCATTGCATACAAATCAGGAAGAATCCGTGACCAATGGAACCCATAGATTCGGTTTCATGTGATTTAAAACCATTCATGAGACACAGGAAAAATAACGTTAAATTCAACATAATATAATATATATATTCTTTTAATAAAATAACGGAATCATAATGAAAAGATCAGATCAGGGTAAAACAAGACTTTAAAAAAAAAAAAAATTCTAAAAACATAGAATAGACAATAGGATAGATAGATTGTCTACCAAATTCTCCCAAAACCAAGTATATGTGACCCTTTTTTAATGTTGTGATACAGTCCCATAGTGGCTGACATTATTAAACACTTGATGTTAAATGGTGACGATATTTGTATGTCTTTCACGCTCTTAAAACTACATCACCTGACCTCCTCGATTGCACCAGTCGCAATGACTAAAACTAACACTCGAGGTTGCCTTATGACAACTAACGTAAATACAGGTCATAATGAAATGCTTTTACAAAGTCAAAGCTTAGAAAAACTCAACACATTTATGTGCAGCAGAAATTCATTTTTCTGAACAACCCTCTAAGGGTTAGGAAACACTCCTCTTTCTTTTCCTGAATAATGCCAATCGGATCGAGATAACAATAATTAGGAGCCACAGTCAAACTAATTGCACGTGCTCAGCCTCAGACCTGTAGACCTTTCACACTGTTGTCAGATAGTTTTTATGAGGTGCACCAGCAGTTTCCATGGTAATGTTTGAGAACCCAGTTGTACTTTTGAGGATTATCCGGACTGAATTGCCACCTGTGAGAATACAGGTTGGATGTGTTGCTGCGATGATTTTCCGTGACCTTTTAACTCTGGGACGGCTCTCCCTTACCGTCGTGCCCTTTTCTCCTCGCCCTGTGTCTGTCTCTGTCTCTGTCACTGCCTCACTCTCCTGCCAGCCACCTGCAGTGTATTGACCAGAAGCAGCAGGATTCAGCCTTTCGAAGATGATTAATGCATAGATAAGATTGCCACCTGATAGCGAGGGCCTGACTGACTGCAGTAACACTTCTCTCCAAGCCAAGCGTGGTGTGTGCGGTCCCGATGGCTGTCAGCAGAATTAAGTTTTAGTGATAGAAATGTTTCTTGGCGGCAATAATTTGTTTAAAGCTCCATAGGAAGTTGGAGCCAAAGAACCAGACCGTAACAAGTTCACTGGAGACAGTACGTCTCGAAATCACCAAATTATATCTGGCATTTTCAACTCGTATTAAAGCGGCTA